TCTACTATAATATTAATGATAATATATTACTACTACAATTTGGTTTGCAAAATGTATGGTTGTGGCAAATAACTATAATTTCACACAGTTAGATTTTTCTCTTATATTGAGAAAAGAAAATTTGATATTGTAACTATAATAGAGAATATAGAGAAATAATTATTATAAATTATGGTCAAGAAAATTATTGTTTTAAATATTAAGTTCGACTGTAATGTTAGTAATAATAACCTTATATGTATGTTGTTACTACTATTTTATTGCAAAAAATATAGTTGGGGTCAAAAATAACTGTGATTTTACTGAAATCAACCATTTCTTTCTCTCAGTGTATCAACCATACACATTACCATCGTACAAAGGTAACTAGGGCGATGCAACTATGCTGCTCACAATCAAATATTTTTGATCATGTGCGCCGTATCTTTCTTTTTTTCCGTGTACGTATCCTATGAACGCACAAAACAACGATTGTAGAGATAATTAAAATCGCATAATTAAATTCCTCGCACGGCATAACGATTTTGCGATGTAGTCTACTCTGCAATTAATTTCTATCTCGATTTGTCTCGATCACCTGCCGTTTTCGCACGCACGCACGTCGAAATTGATTTATAGGAAACATTCACTGAGTCCCGTTGATTGTCATTATGATTTGTCGGTGTTTGTTTATAACGTTTACACGGATCGGCTGCATCTGGACGCTAAGAGAAGAACGCGAGTTTCGCGACGGTCTTTAATAAACCTCTCCAACCGTGATTTAATTAAACGACGCATTGCCCGGCAGCTGCTAATTAACTTGCCCGTTTGCGAATTCCCGATGATCGTTAATCCGCCGTTCCCTCTGCTCGAGCTACGACAAAGATGGTCCACGAGACAGTTCACGAACGCCAGTGTAGAAATTGCAAGTGGTACTGTACGAAAATTATGATCGCTCTCTAGTACATTTACATTAAGGTAAATGCCCTAGTAATTGCACAATGTCTCAATAATTACAACATTAATAATATATTTTTGTAATATTTATTAATAATATATTATATAATATTTTTAGAAGAGCCTTGGAAATTTTGTTAAAAGATATTTTTCTATAGTTTTATCCCAATTTACAATATTATTGAAGGAATATTCGATCATTGAGTGAATGTTATTTCTGAAATATTATTTCTGCATATTATTTCTGTAATATTATTTCTGAATATTATTCTTTATATATATGATCAATTTTTCAATTCACAATTCACTCAAGTTATAATTCATTTTACTTAAATTATAATTAATATTTATTAATTATTTAATTTCTTATTATTTTTCGACCGCGACAAACTAAAGTTTTATATAAACGTTACTTTTGTTAGTATAATTTCATCAATTATTTATTAGTAGAAACGAGAAACTGATTGTACTTTCTTATTAGTTTAATCATTGGGCAATTTGCTTCACTTTAATCTGAAGATGTGAAATTAATAAAAAAGACACATACGAGATGTATCCGTGAAGAAGGTATGTAGTTGAGACTTTTGAAATGTTCGTGACTGAGACGCAAATCTTCGCGTATCTGCGTTTTTATCCAGTTCTTTCCAGTCGCAAATTTGTATCTATCGGAATATCTCTGTATTTATTTATATTTTCTCTCTCGAGAATGCGCAAAGCTAAAATTATTAATAGATTAACTCGACGCGTGTAATGGCGATAATTGCAATCTGTATGCGATACAGTATCTAATTTGATCCTTTTTGGCTCGCGTTATGTCATTATAATACAATTAGTATACTCGCGTCGTGTATAGTGCTTCACACGAAGATAACAAATTGAATGATTTTAATATGCGTCTAGTTGGAATTTTGCACATAACAGAATGCAAATTATGCTCGAGGCCGTTCCTTAATTACATCCCGTTCACGTTCAGTCAATTGTTAATTGTGTCAATTAACTACCAGATGTATGAGGGAATTATTAATGAACGTTATAGCTCGATACATATAATGATATTTATTATAACCGGACAGGATGCGATGTTTTTTCTTACTCTCATACTCGCATCAAAGGTATATTTGTACACGCAACGCTACACCAAATCGTTTTGCTTTGTTAACGAGTTTCAACTTCTGATAAATTGAAAATTGACTAAAAGTAGTGATTACTTTAAAGTGTGCCAGAGTCGCGACTTTCGTCATTGAAAATTGTACAAATGTGTATGTATTCGTTGTTAATTTGCAACTTTCGCTCCTCTTTTCGAACAGCGAGAAGCGACGGTTCTCTTTGACGCATTTCGTTTCCGTCTTTCTCGCCCGTAGTTTTTGATTCTTGTTTCCAAAGAGGCTTATCTCCCGACTTCGTGGATTTAACTAGCTCATTTTTTTCGCTGCTACCACGCAGCATATTACGGCGGCAGATTTCTATCTTTTTTCTTTTAAAATTACTCGCAACGAAAATTACATCGAGGGTTAATTATAAGTCTTCTTCATCGCGGAAATTCTCCTCACTCGAAAGAGCGGGATAATACTTTATAAATCGTCGGAACCTCAAACAATCTTGGATAAAGCTCGTTGAGCGTGCCACTTGTTGCAACATTATCTTTCTGCATTATCTTTATGAATGTTCACTAAACTATATAATAAAGCGCTCCGTTTTGTCCCTACACGGAGAGAATATTGTAGTAAAAATTACAATGCAATTTTAGTAGTCCGAGAATAGACTGGCACTATGACGAAAATTATAATAAGACATAGTAAAAATTATCATGTTGATAATTATTTTTACTATGTTTTATAATAATTTCGTAATGTTTTATAATGTTTTATATGTTTTATAATGTTTTCGTAATAATGTCAATCTATTTCCGAATTACTAAAATTGTATTGTAATTTTTACTACGATTTTACGTTAAAAATAAAGTTGTTCAAGATGAAGTATTTGCAATCACCTTTTATATATATATATATATATATAATTCGGTCGGGGCTTTGCATCCATCCTTAAGCGCGAATTTTTTTAATTTAAAAGCAAGTTCTCTGCTATCGTGGTTTGTGTGAGAAATTTAAATATTTCTGTAAATATTCGCAATATTTTGCGCATTAATCTTCTCTTATTTGGAGACGCTGATTTGATGCGAAATTTATCGGTAACATATTTTGCATAACGTTTTTAAATTCGTTCTCATCGATGCGAAGTTATCCGACTATAAGAATCGGCTTAGTCGGCTCGAATGCTCCCTCGATGGGTGGATACCACCCTTACAATCAAATTCGGATAAAGTCGACGAAGGGTGCGCTATCTGTTCCGACGGGGGAATCCGGGTCGATCGGTTCTTGCCTGTCGTGATTAATTTTCATTTTGGAAGGCGTTCAAACCGTAATTAAACCAGTATCGATTGTATTAAAAAGTTCGCAAGCGCCGTTTTCACACTTCTTATCCACGAGCGCAAATATGAACTGTGCGAGAGTAATGGCTCCGCGTCGCATTCAAAATCGATGAATGCGCGTGAGTGCGAAAGCTTATTGCTTATTACCCGTCGAAAGTCCGCTAATTATTCACTCACCGTGCGCTAACTCCGATATATACCGATTATGTCACGCGGCCGAGATTCTGAAACGACACAAATTAGCACGACAGTCCGTTCCGATAATTAAAAGAACTGTCCGCGACAGTGTTATCAATAGGTGATCGCGTAATCGATAGATATCATTCGCAACGACCCATGTTTCCTGACAAATGCTCGCGTATTCTTATCGTGCGAAATCTATGCATACAATATACAGTGTGTCTGACATTAAGCGTCCTATATCTTGTATATGTAAATTAGGTCAAACTGGTCACAAAACTCTCTTTAACCACATAAAACTTTACATTATTAAATTTTGCATTATTAAAAAAATATTGCCAATGATCGCGTGTAATATAGCAGATGATATGTAGTTATGACAGCGACACTTGCCGTCGTGCGTTTGTAGATTAAGTCAAACTAAACGAAAAAGTTGTCTATCATTTTGCAACAATAACTACGTGAATTTTTAATTATTAATTAAACGATATTGATGCATTATCACGCGACCAATTTTTGTTCAATTAATAATTCCAAAGTCTACGAAGCTCTGTAAAATGGTGTAGGATATTTGATACTTTTACTTTCTAGTAATTGGCATCTTATCTTATGTGTGGCAGCAAAAAATTGTTTTCTCTATGTCCACATTATCAATTAAGACTGGTATCGATAGTAGTTACTTGAAACTTTCCTCAAGCGAGATATTCAAACTTGAACTTGGAGTAAGATGTGTGTTTTTCAGTTAAATCGCAATTACAAATATAATGTTACATATATTATACGATTAAAAAATGAAAGATTTAATTCTAATTCTAAATTCAAATCTGAGTATCACTTGAGATAAGTTTCAAGTGACGATTATTAACACGGGACTAAGCCTATTTTATCCAATTTACGTAAAAAGATAGAATAAATGGTTTGTGAGAAGAGTCCTTCGAATAAACCGTAGCAAACCCGTTAAAAAAAAAAGAAAGAAGAAAGAAAAACGAACGAGAATTTCGTCGGATTATGTAGAATGTAAATTCGCTTCCTTATTGACTTCTTTTGTCTTACAACGCAACTGTCAATGAAATCCCGAGACGATCCGCGCGCGCACATTATTCTCTGATGTCTCGTGAAACATACGAGTGCCGTCTCGCCGAGTTAGATTATACCTCACCATAGCAGCTGTGAGTTAAAAGCTACGCGACGTGCGTACTCGGAGAAATCTTGACGTGCACGGTCACGTACGTCTCGTTCGCTCGACTGTCTGCCTGCTGTAATAACATTCTTCCATCCCTAATTCAGGAACATTGCGTTCCATTCCATGATTCTTCTTTCGCGCGTGCGTACGCTGAAAAGTCGCGTACGCGAGAATCAAGGAAAGCGGAGCGAAAAAGACGTTGCCTACTTCGTTACATTTCCGAGGAGTGAAAGGTCGCTAGCTCTCCAGGTTACATTGTCTTATTTGACACAGGAATGTTGTCGGCAAGCTCACGACGTCAGGCGGGATTGCTGCTTTGCAATTTGGCGAAACAACTTGATTGATTCTTCGTTATTCTGGCACACGTAGTTACGCTATGATGAATTTCGAGCGCAGTTCGAAATGATCGGAGACCGATGACTGAGAAATTAATTTGACGAAAAAAATCGGACACGTGTAATTTTATGAGTCCCGTTTGATCACGACTTCGTGATGAATGAGGGCATGGTGCGCTTGGGATTTTTCATAATTACCGGCACGACAGAAGCCGCGAAGAAACTCCTGATCGCAAGGTATCGTTTGACACTTCAACGTGGAGAAAATATCACATATGTCTTTTTTCTTACGAATACATCAACGCGATTATCCGCATCAGACTATTATTAGGACGAGTTCTGTTGGACCCTCTTGTTAAATGTGACGAACATCGTTGTGTTTCTCTAGAACGTAGCGCATCCGGAATGTCCCGGGTAAGGTCGAGGGGTGACTAAAATGTGGAGGTAAACCAACCAGGTGGGTGTGAGTAGCCGCGAGTGACTCGTGTTCGAGCCGGCCGTAAATCGGGAAGATGCGGCGCGACGCGTAATCGGGCGACAGCTTCGACGATAAAGTGTAACGAGGTGCGCCGAGTGCGCGATGGCGTCGCGGACGAGAAAATGGTGTTTCGTGAGTGGTGTCTTGGTGCGGCTCACGCTGACTTTGTCGGGCTTGTGCGCGAGTCGTTGCGCGGTGACGGTGCCGAGCGCGAAGGAGTGCAATGGCGCGTTGGTGCAGCCCAAGGAGGTGAGGCTGGCGGTGATCGCACCTGGCGATCCTCACCATGAGCAGAGCCTGCCGCGGGTGTTGCCGGCGGTGCTGTTGGCGGTGAGATCCGTCAGCTCACCCAAGGGACCTCTAGCGGGATGGGACATCAAGGTGGACCATCGCGACTCGCATTGCTCCAGCACTTACGGGCCCCTGGCCGCATTCGACTTTTACATCAACCAAACAGCAGGTCGCACGATGCGTTTCTCTCAGCCGCCCCTTTTCCATCCATTTTCGCTTCCTTTCTGCCACCGCGTCTCCACCGAGTAACGTAATCGAGACAGAGAGCGTTACAACGTTTCAACTCTTTGAGCCGTGCATTTTATTTCTCGGTAGAGTTTCTTCAAATTTGGCATACGAAGCGCTTTGAGGTCGTTGATTACGAATTTCAGATTTAAAAGTTAAAATTTGAAATGGCGGTTCCAATATGGCAAGTATAAGTTTTCAAAATTAGCAATTCCACTTCCAAATTAGCATTTCCAAATTAGCAATTAACAATTTTTAACATTATTCGTAAGTAATACGACGATGTTTCCTCGATATGAAAGAGATTTGCCTTCTTGATTTTTTTACAAGAAGCTTACAGCATACATATTTCAATAGCTCTATATCCACCAATATTTCAATAGTTTGTTGTAACAAATAGGGCTTACAGAAAATTTTTGAAAAATATGTAAAATACTGTTAATTGTTCTTAATAAGCTGTTTACGATGTTTCTTTCACAGCTTTGAAACTATTTCTGTCTGAAAAAAGTGCCTCTTTTTTTATTCTTACTCGATTATAATAATTTAACAATTAAACATTCAAATTATTTCTTACTTATTTTAGTTCTTTACGTTTATGATAGTGTATAATAACAATATAATCGACTATGTCTTCCCGATAAGTTTGTAAAAATCACTGAAAATGAAGAACAAATACGGACGTTAGCATCCCACCATAGCTCAAAGAGTTAAACGACGAGCACGACCATGTGGGACGCACTGAGAAAAAAGTGGTTGAATTAATTAGATTTTGTTCGAACAAACAAAAATTATTCAAGCAAACGTTCAGTCGATTGAACGAATGATATCGTTACTGCGACGGGTTACCAATTGATTCAACGATCGCGATTTAGTCAATAAATATATCAACGCAACTTTCTGTTGCACAATTTGTTCAATAGACTCAATATTCCTTTGAAAGAGGCTGACTATGATTTTGTCGATTCAACCGTTTTTCTTCTCTCAGTGCGGTTTCGAAGTACGTCTTTCAGTACGTCTCTCAGTACGTCCTTCGAAGCGAGCTTCCGGCGCAAAGTTTTGACGTTGCATATTCTGGTCATTTTGGCAATCTTTCTTTCTCTCTCTCTCTCTTTTCAGAGCCGAGCTACAGCGTTGAATGTTTTACAGTCACGCAATTGAGCTCGTACGGAATATGATTCGTAAAAATTTATAGCGATTCGCGCTATACACGTATTGGCAAAATAACTGGCGCCAGGAGAGCAGTAGCATAAATTTGCCGAGATTCTCGATTACGTTCGGTGAGCGTCCGCTGTCGAACTCAATTCACCTTCGAGTCGTCGAACTTCACTAACCCTCTTTCACTCTGCGTTCCCTCGACTAATCGAATAACTTGCGAAATGTAAAATTTCAAACACCCGTGACAGCGTGATTTTATTAACGAATAATGTATACGTCGACGCGGCGTGACTTTGTCCGATTGATTCAACTCGCCTATTCTCTGCAATCGAGAGGATTGACCGCAGTTTAAAAGTTTCAAACGAGTTGAACAAATCGCGCGTTAGTCACGCCGACGTGAAGAAATACACAACACGGCGCAAATAACGTACGAAATATCGCCTGTCAAGTCGGGAGGCCCATACATCAAGAAAAGTGGTTCGCAAAGTTGCTTACTCTCGTTATACGTGTAGCTCGTCGCAAAATACGGCGAACCAGAAACTAGATATATTCGCCCAGGTGGCTTCCGCTCGCTCGCTCACGCGTGCGTCTAACGTGTAGCACGACTTTAAATTATTTATTTATCGCGAGCGTCAAACTTCGAAGATGTAAAATTCAAGTTCCCAACAGGACGTCGCCACACACACACATACACACACACACACACACGCACGTGAACGTGCGCGTATGCGCGTACACACATCATTGCCATTGCTTCTCGATTCACTGCTTGTTTCGAATAGATGCCTTCGATACTCGTCGAGATATAAAGCGGAAGAACGAAGGAGAGTGAAAGGACGAGAAGAAAGCAGAATGTGAAAAGTACCCTTGACACGCAACGCGGTTTAATTTCTAGCTGAAACGTCGATAAATCGTTCGCCGAGACTTTCTACTTGCGTCCTTTCACGATCCTTCTTCCTCCGCCTCCTCCGACTATGAAAAGCGGATTAGCCGGATGTACATACGGGATGGGATAATTAATCTACTTGACTGCCGATGAAATCCGGGAATCTTCCTGCGCGCAAAGCGTCTCCGAACATACGTAACAAAGCGCGGACCTCTCTCATTTGAATTGCGTCGGAGCGGATTTCCCACTCGAATAGAAACGAACGAAGAGGAGTGAGGCCGAATAAACGTACACGTATAATCGGCGCGGAGGATAACTCGTGTTATTTACAACGGTATTAGATACGCGTGTCAAGAGAGAGCGTTTTGATACTAAAATGAGAAACAAGCTTGTGTCCCTTCGCCCGTCGATGAAAGCCGACGGGTAAGGTCCCTCGCGTCCTCGCGTTCGCGTTTCCAATGGAAGAGCCCGGAAAACTTTGTTAATTACAGTGTGAGCTTCCGTTTGTTCGCCAATTCTGAAATATTACTGAATATATTCCAGATATCTTCCGTGAGTATTACATATCGGGGCGATATGTAGGCGAGAGGTCGCGCAAGAAAAATGTGACGAAATGGGAAAACTCTGCGACGTATTCCGGGTTGTACGCTTTGATAAAAATTCTTGGTACGGCGGTGAACGATGCGCTGTCTCAATACTCATTAGCGCATTCAACTAGCAAATTGCAAGTGAATAGAAATTGATGGCCCAAAGGTGGATGATATATACCCGAGAAAATAAAATCTCATCCTTAGTGGAATCCTCTTATATGACTTTTCGGAGAACTTTTCTAAAACCAAAAGGAAAATATTTTAACATCCAAAGCTAAGAGCTCTAATTGCAAAATGCTATTTCTTAAACTCGCATTCTTAATCGGAAATCTACTAGATATTGTTCTTTTTTCTTTTTGAGTCAAAGAATATGTTTATTTGAAGCAGAAGGACTTATTATTAGAAAAAATTTCTATTAGAAACTTTTATCAAAAATTTCTACAAGACTTGAATTGTAGATAAAAGACAATTTTTCCAACTGCCAGAATATTGTGCTTAAAATATTCTTTTTGTCTTAAAAAGGAAAAGAATTCTTTTGGAGCCATATATAAGAGGACTCTGTTAATGATGAGACTATATTTATTTTAATGTGAATGTGTGTGTGCATATGACATACATATGACATTTGCGGAACGTTAATTACGATGTGCACTCTTATTATTTCCGACATTGTCTGCTAATTCACTTTACATACGAAGAGAATACTATAGTTCCTTTTTCCTACAACTTTTTTTTCGATTTTACTATGTTTTTAACAGTGCAGCAATATAAACAGTCTCAATAAGATCCATCTTATTGAGGAACATAGCAAATTTGGCCAAGACAATAGCAAAGTTTTCAATAGTACATTTCAGTTACTAGAATAAAATAGCATATATGAAAAGATAATAAATTGCCGCATAATATTAACTTGTTCTTCGGTCATAAAATCCTAGTAATTTAGTAAATTACTATAGAAAGTATCGAGTTCTTTTTTGAGTGTTAAAATATTTTCCCTTTGACTTTAGAAAAATTCTCTGTAAATCATACAAGATAATTCCGCCAGAGTAAAACTATATTTTTTTAGATGTGTCATCTCTCTTTAGTAATTTTCTAATTTTGTAAAATTCCCCCCGTGTAGAACAATCGACTCTCGTTCGAGTCGCGTCCCTCGTCCTTCTTCGGCGAAACGTTGACCGCTAATCTTGAGTAGATTGAGACCGAGCGAGGAAAATGATGCGGAGACGTAGTCGAGCGATGTATCGTGTCAGCCAGGAATGGCGCATCGACCCTGCGGGCGGATTCGTACGTCGTCGTCGCGGATTCCGAGGATCGCTTTCCACGCTCGACGCGACGACCAAAGCCCGCCGTCATGAGCTAGTGAGCGTGTGTCGCGCGTCATTACGCCAATTAATCCGCGGGACGATGTCCCTCTGAGGGCCCCGCGCCGATGCCGTGCGCTATGTTTTAATTGGGCCCCGGCCCGTCATGTTAGAGCCGCGGCCGCCGTGCAGCCGCTTGGTAGAAACGCGCCTATTTTTACGAGGGGCTGACGTCAGCCCGCTGCCGTGTCAATTTGCAGCTGCAAACTGTCGAACGAGCTGCCACAGCTACGACGACGACGACGACGACGACGACGACGACGACGACGACGATGACGACGAAAAAGACGACGACAACAACGACGACGACGACAATGATGACGATGACGATTGGCCCCTCGCCGGTCAGTCAACCAAAGTCGACTCGTCGCGCCTTCTTTCTCGTCGATTTCCCCCTTCCTACCATCTGGACCCCGTAAAGTGCCACTTTAATTCGGCTTAATTAGTCCCGTCGTGTCGGTGGCTCGCTCTTCTCTTCGGATTAATTGACCTCGCGCCCTACTGCGCTCTCCTCGTAAGCGAATCATTTACTTTCTCAGGAGCGCGTGCGAGATCGCCGATGAAAAATGTCTCGTTTCTGTCCGCGGAACGAGAATTCACGCGTTAATGGGACGGAATTTGACGCGCCACGTTTCGTCCGCAATCGACGCGGACATCGCGCCGATCTTTCCTCCTCGACACGGAGGACGCGCGATTCCCGCCAACGGTGTGCCGGTGAGTATTTTGCGATTACTTGCCCATAACGATAACGAATATTCATTATGTATTATGTCGTCTTCCGGACGGTTCCGTTCGATGTTCCATTATTATACAGAGAAAAATATTCTACTGTTAAGAAAAACAATTACTTACTTTAGTTTCCTTCTTTGAGAAATAAAGATTATCTTCAACAAAGGATATATATATATATATATATATATATATATATATATATATATATATATATATATAT